TTCATTAATGATTCACAAAATAGAATTTCAGAAAACAGATCATATCATATCAGTCAGAAAATACTTATAGTCAAACATAGCTTTACATAGTTGTTACTTACAAATAACTCCAGAAGCAAATCAGACGAATTAGACAGATCAGACGAACAATGGCGCGTGACCTACACAAGTATGTGACAGATGCATACTGAAACACACTCTGAAAACACTTGACTTATTATATTTCTTTCTTAGTGTGTTTCTAATTTATTTCTTCATTATTGCGGCCTAAACCATGGCTTAAGAATACCTAAGATAGAATGAGGATGCAATTATGCATTTTGAAAACACTTGCCAAAATTTCAAAAACAGGGTAGTTCGCTCGAGCGAAGCTTTGGTCGCTCAAGCGGATCCCTTGGTCTGCAAAACTTTTAAGAGCTCTTAATTTACGCTCGAGCCAACTTCTCGGTCGCTCGAGCCGAGACTGAAAATAAAGGGTGGTTGCTCGAGCGGTCTTTTGGCCATCAACTCTGCAAAAGTACTGAGAGCTTGCAAAGTGTGCTCAAGCGATGGTTCCACCGCTCGAGCAAACACTGCGAATTCTGGAATTTCTAGATTTGCATTCAAGGTTCAAAACTCAACTTTAACACACCAAAACTCATTCTTTTGGGCCAAAACTTAAGAAAACACTTAGAAATTTGTGTAAAACCATGAATTAAAGATCATTTCACAAAACCAAAGCCCAAAAGCATGTCAATTATTTCAAAACTACACTTGAACCTCTATATGTATGACATGCAAGTATTGAATTGATATTCTTTGGTTCCAAAGCTTGTACAAATGACATAATGAGAGGAGAATCATGTTGAATTCTTCAAATGTAGTAAAAATAACTCCATGCATGTGAGGTTAAGATGGAATTCAATCTTAATCTTCATGAATTACGCATGCATGCATGAATCGTGCTCATTTTCTACATTCTTAACTTGATTCTCATGTTTATTCCTCTAATTCTCTTGAATTCTCATGTAAGTTAGCTTCCTAGCCCAAAATGAGATTTGAATTTCTTACCTAAACTCTTCAATCCCTTGTGTTCTAGCAAGTTCTTGGACTACTCCACCAATTCCCTTCAATTGTCTACCAATTCCTCTCTTCTCTCTCTCTCTCTCATGCCGATAAGGCCTTCAATTTTCATATCAAAACAGAATTTCAGACAGATATTCCTACAACAGACAGATAAAAATTCAAATAACACACAAATCCCACAATTAACACATAATTTCATTTAGCCACTTAATTCACATTCTTAATTACGGATTAACGACTAATTATGGATCAGGGTTATCACAAGTAGATGAGTCGAATAGCTCGATGGGTCGACTGAGTCGAATCACTAGCGAGACGAAAGATCCAGATGAAGCACTCGCGGACGAAATAGATGGGTCACAAACAAATGGATAATGGGTCACATACCCAAGTCACGAACAGAGATCGAACTAAAAGGAGTTCAATCATGTACTGTCCAATTGAGAAAGAGAGAACTTGATCAAAAAGATGAATCACGAGCAAGTTGAACCAGTTCGTGCGTAACCCTAGCCACCATGAAATCAGGAATTGCGAAGCTTTGATACCATGTAAGATTTTTGAACGTTTTCTGTTTATTCAATTGTGGTAGTAACACGAGTACCTCAGTTTATATTACAATCTAACCTAGGACTGGAAAAGAAAAGAAGAATGTCCACTCTATCCCTAATATATACAAAATATATACTACCATATATAAATAAAGCCGAATATTCTCACAATCATTTCATAGCACCTAAATTGCCTATGAGCAAGGAACTCACCCAATTGAGGCTCATGTTAGTCAAGGTAACCCGTGTTAGTGTTGCCCATAACTAAGTTAACTTGATGTTGCTCAACTGTGCACTAATGTAGAACCCTCAACCTAGCTGTCAGTCTTTCCATCTTATGTATATATGGTCTCTTGTTACGCCTATCTCGAATAGCCACTGATGACGAAGGCTCGCTCGCACACCCACAACATAATAACCATGCACGCATTATCATGCTAAACCATCCATGATGGTCATTGAACACTCGTGGCATTGCACTTGCTTGTTTCATGAACATGACAACAATAATCCATAGCACACAATTAGCATTCCTCCTTCCCACAAGCTCCGCACGATGTTCCTCACATGATAGCAATGCTTCATGCCTCTCAAATGTCCCCACAAGTAAGAGCGTTGCCACCAAACTGCTAGCTAGGCTACAAGACCCCCCACATTCACGGCTGAACCCAAGCGCATGTTCATGAGTTGGCACACAAGGCTCTTGTTGGCACCTCAATAGCCCATTCCATTTGATAAAGGTCGACACCACAAGATGCTAGACTGCACACTAATGCCTCTCATGACATTGTCCGTGGGGCTTCTAAACCTATATGGGGACCAATGACAACCCTCATGATATGGAGAAAGTATTTAGCGTAATAGGTATGCCATGTCACTTGGCTGACTTGGTGTACCGTTGCACATATAAAATGACACATGTAACAAAAAATTTCCAACTCTCTATCTTCCCGTGAGCCCCCTTCTCAAGAATGCTGCACACTCCTCTTTCCCCCTCTTTCTCCTATGTAACTCTGCAACTTCTCTATTAGAACACCTCCAACACCTGACACCCCCATGATCCACAACCACTACCATCACCCTTTCTAACCAAGGCTTCCATAATCTCAAGAGCTCATCAAGACCTCACCATGGATTCCGGCAAATTTATTTTATTTTTTATTTTGAATCTCCTATTCCTATTCTCTTCTTCTTCACTAGTTAGCAAGTTCAATCAACAATACCCTTATCAAAACCTATTAATATTATGTAGTATCAGTAGTAGCAAACCCATTTGTCAATCTGAGAGCAACATCAATTTATTTATTTATTTATTTTATTTTTACATCACTGAATGTTGGGTAAGAGATTCAAAATCCTGCGAGTAAAGCCAGTTAATGAGTAAATGTATAACCACTCAGACAAAGAGACGATAGCAACATCACTTAATTCATAAAGATTGACAAAGGAATTTAAATGATATGTTTTCAAGAAAAAAGATAACAGATTTGTTGGGTTTGAATTGAACTTGCCAATATCCTTAATTCAAAACCTAATAATAATTATGACTTTGATAGATCTGTTAAGATGCATTTCTTGCAGAAATAGCAGTTTATTTAAGAGGAACAAGAATTTTGAAACCAAAGGCCATGAACCATGGATTCTTCCAGAAAATTATGTAGAGAAATTGTTCAGAGTGACAATGGAGAAGTTTTTTTTACCAATTCGTTAACCAAACTTGGGACTGACAGGAAGAGAGAGAGTTGGAAAGGAGAAGATAATGATAATGTATATATTTTGAGAAGAGACAGCGTGTGCTGTATTCTTGAGATGAGGGAGAATTGGAAAGTTTTTGTTACACGTGTCATTTTATCTATGGAATGGTACATCAAGTCAGCTAAGTGACATGGAATACCTGTTACACTAAATACTTTCTCTATAGTATGTCAAAGGCCCATCCCCAAGTTGCCCTGAGGATGCCCACTTCAAGCCCATCATAGGTTAGGGAGGTAGGTAGCTGGCTGACCATACCCGCTTTATAATAGCCTTTTAACAACTTTGTCGACTGCCACAAAGAAGCACCAACCATGTTTGAGGAGTCATAATGATTTTTCAATGATTTCCCAATTCTTGAAAAATCCCCAGTCTTAGGCGTGCGGGCATGAGCGGTGCTGGGCGCGCTTCCTAATGCACATTGGGACTACTTGGGGCCAAACTTCCAAGCCATGTTGGGGCGCTAGGCCAGTTGACTTGGAATACGATGCCAAACTAACGTAGGCACTTCCAAAGGCATAAACTTAAGCACAACAAAGGCGCATGCAGGCATCACAATGTTGGAATTGAAAGTGTCAACTTGTGACAGTTTGTTACAATTAAAGCTAAATCTCCATCAGAGCCTAAGCCTTTTAAGTTCTATAACTTTTGGGTTAAAAGTCCTGACTTTTGCTAAAGTATCTAGTTAGAGGCTCCCCTATATACCAATTGTGCTCTAAGCTCAAGACTCCGAAAGTGGAGCTTAAGAAGTTTAGTAAGTCTCATTTCATTAAATTTATGTTAAGGTAGTAAAGGCAAAAGCTCTCCTTGAGCAGACTTAGTTGGCCGTCCAGTCTCATCTTGACCATTCTTCTTCGATTGTTACTGAAAGGAAGGATTTATCCTCCTATTCCTCACTCTTGTTGGCTGAGGAAGCATTTTATAAGGAGAAAGTTAGAGGGAATTAGATTAAGCTTGGAGATCAAAAAACTGCCTAAGATAGCCATATGGTTTAGAATGTACACTTGCTCTAGCTTGCTAGTTGTGAAATTTACTGGCCTTTAAAATTAAAATGTGAACATTGATATAAATGTTTGAATCGACTCCTCACTCTGTTGGAATGTGTCCCACATCACCTGAAGTTGTCCTATCTATGCTGGTTATAAGGTTTCAATTTCTCTCTCCTTGATACCTGGGTTTCAATAAGTGTGGGCTGGGCTTTTCAATTTGGTATTAGAGCTTGGTTGGGGCTGTGATTAGTGTGCCGTTTGTCTGACTACTATATGTTGTGGTCCAGAAGGGTGTGTTGGAATGTGTCCCATATCACCTGGAGTTGCCCCATCTATGCTGGTTATAAGGTTCCAGTTTCCCTCTTCTTAATACCTGGGTTTTAAGGAGAAGTATGGGTTAAGCTTTTCAATTAGTCCTCCCGGGCCTTATAACTTGGCATCAGTCTTACTCACTAAGCCTGAATGACCAATGTGTTCTCCATTGACTGCAAAACAGATAATTTTGTATTATGCATCTAATGATTTTTGTTTTTTTAAGTGATATATTCCTTTTCCATACTATTATTTCGATTTTTGTTCTTTTTGTTGAGTGGGTTGTTTGTTTTATTTAATGTCTGAAGGTAAAGAGTTGCAATTTGTCCCACAGGGTGGTTATATGTCTTGGAAATGGCACTAAAAATTTATACTTACGGATTTGAGAACTATTGGAGGGATGGTCAAAATCGTTTTGATTTCATTATCACATGGGTTATAGGTAAGTTTCTACAACAATTTATTTCCTGTATTAATGCATCTTTTATATATATATATATATATATTTCTTTGATTATATATATATTGGGGTGAGAAGAATGGTGGGTTGTTGGAGAAAAATGGTGTGACAAAAAGTTGCACATGTGAAACTCAGTCCAAGAAGTTTGATTTTATCCAAAAAGGTCTCTTTTCACCATTTAGATCTCTTTTCACCAATAAGATCTTTAATCAAGGACAGAGATTTCTCAAGTTCAGATTCAATAAAAAAAAATTATTGTAGAAAATATTTATTTTTTCAAGCAACTTCTTATTGACTTTCTTTAGCTTAAAGAAATCTTTGGACATACTCTCATCTCATGTCATTTGGATAATTTTTTTTACGCCTTCTTTGGAACAAAATCATCATCAAGATCATGTGCGAGAATCACTATAATCGAGGAATTATCTAGACTCTCTGATACTATGACACCAATAAGAGCGAGAAATGGTTTATGAAAAATATGAATCATCTTGTTTGGTTTTGATCGATTTTTTAAAAATTGAGTTTTTATTTTTCATGAATTTTTTTAATATTTTAAGTAAATTTTTTACTTTCTAGATGCACATAACTTGGATGCACCTAAAAAGTAAAATATTTGTGAAAAAATATTTTTAAAATTCAATAAAGAATTTTTGTGTTTTTTTGTATTTGATGAATTTTTTAAAGATTTTTTTCCGTAAATATTATACTTTTTAAGTGTATTTACGTGTATTTACGTTAGGTGTATCTAAAAAATAATTTTTTAAAATCTCCGTATTTGGGACAAAAAACCTTGGATGCAAAATTCACCAACGTTCCAAGATCAATTACAAAGCTTACAATGATCCAAAGACACATGCGTTCAAACAAAGAAGTTTATATTTCACAACAGTGTTCTGTATGTTCAACCAGAATGGCTCTCATTTGAACAGTAAATTTTTGTGTTCAAACGGTTAGCATAATGTCTAAAAAAAAATTCCAAACTAAAAAAACCAGCTCTCATTCGGATAGAAAACCTGCATTCGAATGAACCACTCTATTCATGCACAATCCCAATCAAGGGCAAAAGGAGGGGGGCTCTTAGGCCCTCCAGAGTTTTGGGAAAGTACTGTTAATATGGGAAAGTACTTTATTGGTTGGATCGTATTCATCTAATGTACATTCTTTGTTTTGCAGTGATTGGAGAAACAGCAACTTTCTTGTCTGCCAATGACCTAACTTTTCTTTCGAACGGGGAATGGTAAGGATATAGGAACCTTGGATTTTTGTGCATGCTGAGGATCTTATTCATATGCATGCTAAGGATCTTATTCATAATCACATTTGCTAAAAAATTGGGTAAATTACATTTTGCACCTGTGCTCTTTGCACCAAATCCCACTTTGGTCCCTATACATGAAATCGTAACAGTCAACCCCCTACATTTCTGGTCAAGTGTCAATGTCCTCTTTCTGTTACTTTGTTGTTGAAGTTTTTAACAAAATCTAGTTACGTGACAAGCATGTGAATACGAAATGAGGAAAAGAGAGAAAGATCATCCCCATTTCCCATTATTACACACTCTCTCGTGTGAAAAGCATGTGAAAGTCATATAATACAATACATGTATGTATATTTGTTCATATGCTGAAAATAGGGATGAAGAGGCAATAAAATAGAACTTTTGAAATCAAAAGTGGCAGCAGAGAAATGAAGAGGAATAGACGGAAGACTATGTTATTGCAAAAAATAGAGTTTTGTGATTCCAATTTCTGCAAAACCCTAGTTCATCTTCTTAATCGTTCACAATTTGTGTTTTGTTTTAGCCGAATAAAGTCTTAATTTGATGTAAATTTTGGAACGAAATGTGTATAGGCGGGAAATGGAGGTGATTTTTCTCTTTTGCCCTCATTTCATAGTCACACACTGGTCACATGATTGGATTCTGTTAAAGACTTAAATAATGGAGTAACAGAATGGGAACACTGACACTTGACCAGAAGCGTGGGGGGGTTGATTGTCAAAATTTCATGTGTAGAAACCAAAGTGGGATTTGCTGCAAAATGCAGGGGTGCAAAGTGTGATTTACTTGAATTTTTTTTTTGCACATTATGAATCTTGTGTATTATCATATTTACAAATAGTCTCTTTTTTGTTTCTAATTTTTACAATGCTTCCAAGATTGTTTTTTATTCTTTAAAGAGTCATTAAGTTTGATTATATAGATGGATCATGCTGTCCACGTTATTTATTATTGTTTATTCTTTTCTTAATTTTCAAATTAAAAAAACTTCGAATTTCTGATAATATCCAAAGCTAAATTTTACATTTACCCTGACCCATCAACAATAAGATCTAGAACATTTAGAATAAGTTGCAAAATGCAGATGTGGTTGGATGAGATTCTGCTAAAACTACAGGAAAACTCCATTGGTAACATCCTTGAAAAATTGGTATTGATAGAATTGTTGTGACACTTCAGCAAGATTGGTGGAAATTAGATTTAGTTATGGTATTTAAACCGAAGCTCACGACTTGAAAGGGCTCTAGTACCATGTTACACAGACATCATGAAATCTTGTAGTCGAGTCTTATAGTCGGCCTGGGATGCCTCTGTAATCTTTATAATGCTAAAAGTCTTCTTCCTTCACTCATTTTCTTTTAGTTGTGGTAGCTTCCATGCCCTAATGTGTATAAATTATAATACATTAATATGGGCAAGTCCCAGGTCTGTATACTATATCTGAAGTACACAAATAAATTAACTACTGTCATACTTTTGCAGCTTGCAAGATATACTAGTATGTAACCATTAAAGAGGGTACAGTGATTAAAGCTTTGGTTCTTAAGTGGTTAAAACACAGGTTTAAATAAAGTATGAGGACAGACACTTTGTGCAAGTTAAGGCCGAAATTTTCTTTGTAACCTCCGCTCTGCCAACCTTTACTAATAGAATGACCATTTGTTTAAAATACTGGTAAGATTGCCTCTCCAAACACTATATGCTTTTGAAGCAGCTCATTGGAATGAAAAAATATTGACATCCTTGATAGCACCATTGTTGCAGCAAATAACTCATGTTTTATGTATACTTTATTTGTATATTAATACTTTGAGTTGGAATCTCAAGGACACAAGTTTTCTTCTAACATAACCCCCTGAAGAATTTAGATGGTGGGGAACTATAAGCTTGGTGATCTTGACCTGCAAATATGTCCGATGAATCTGTTCTGGATGCTATACTCAGTTTACAAGTATCCTCTTTTCCATGCTAACTCCGGGTTACCTTCGGTAATTTAATTTACATGAGTTTATTAGTTCAAGTGTGTCCGTTTGTGATAAGGAGGAAGTTAGTGAGAGATAGAATCCACATCTACATTTTGCTCTTGTAGTTCGAATTTCACCTCTATACTTGTACAGTTTTATTGCATAAGAAAATAATAGATAAACATCCAAAGCTGGTTAACCTGCATCTCCAGATGCATAAAAATTGTGCTCATCACTTTTATGTAGAACATCTCATACAATTTAATGACCCTAGACACTTACCCAATATAAATAAATGAATAAATAAATAAATAAAATGGATCATGAGCCACTTGCATGAACCTTATTGAAAACCCGAGGTACGTCGTGAAAAATAGCCACGGCATATCATATAGTTCTATTCCTTGATTCATACTCACGTCTGGAAAATAGTTTGTTTAGTACTAGCTGTTGCCTAGAGTGATCAGCCTCACAATCATTTCTTTAAATTCCATGACATTTATTTAATTGGCTATCCTCAATTACAGGATCCGTTATCTTCTTCTTGCTAGAATGTTACGATTAATTAGGCTCTTGATGCAAGTCCAGCGGTACCGTGCCTTTGTTGCCACGTTTTTGACCCTCATACCAAGTTTGATGCCATTTATGGGCATCATATTTTGCATTCTATGCATCTATTGCTCTCTTGGTTTACAGGTAAAACAGGTTCTATCTTCACCTGCTTCCATTTTGTTCTCTTGGCTTTTGTGTGTAGAGACAGTTTTTCATGTGGCCTTTGTCGTCCTAAATTTATGCTTAGTTATGCTTAACATTTCTGACATCTTTCACTTTCAGAACAAAACATGGAACTCCTTATTCATCTAATTTGAATTCCAAGTCATGTCAAAAGCTTTCATGTGGTCTTCAATTTTATTTCTTTTTAGTTGACTGATTGTCTTTGTCTGCAGTGTAAAATTTAACATAATTTGTCTTTCATGTGTCTTCTTTTGCTTGCAGATATTTGGTGGTCTAGTCAATGCTGGGAACCCCAAATTAGAAGGAACAGATCTTTCTGATAATGAGTATCCTATGCCATTAAGTTAAAAAGTATTTTAATACACCTTCTGGGACATGGGTTATTCAATCCATAGTTGTTTTTGATAGAATATTAATTATTTACCTACATTCACCAAAGACCTACATCTCCAAGAGCTGACATTGTTATTTTCCTGTTCATTGCACTTTCTAAGGTGTTGTCTATGAGTTAAATTTTAGTTTTGTGACTCAGTTTTCTTGACAAAGGAAGCTACCTACTTTTCAATTTCAATGACTACCCAAATGGAATGGTGACACTTTTCAATTTACTAATAATGGGAAACTGACAAGCCTGGATGCAGGTAACACTAATCTGTCACGATCATCTATATCTTCTCTTCATTCATACTGCTCTGTGCATGACTGAAGAATATGTCAACTTGTCTTTGCAGTTCACTTGTGATTTATGTTTACCTAGTTAACTAGTGAAAATTATGCCCTTTGTGGCTTGTTCTTATTTGTTCCATATCCTTTCTAGCAACCAAAGGTTTTGGTGCCTTGTTTATCTTGAGCTAACAATTAATCAGGATGGCGCACCTTGCAGAATATACAAAATTGTGTTTCCCACAGGACTAAATATTAATGTGATGATACAAATATTCGAAAGGGAAACACATGAATAATTTTCCAGTTTCACTAGAAAGGCTCTCAGTTTTTGGGATTGAAATTATATTTAGATTTTTTAGGGAAAAATATTGAAAAAGAAAATCAATTAATAGAAATTGCAGATGGGTTGGGATGAGAGGAGAGAGAGT